ATTTGCAACGGCCTTTCAAAACACAGGAGCCAATGAAACTGTAAAATAGAGCCTTTTAAGTCTTTTTTGGTGTTTATTTTTAAAATGTGTTGTAATTATTAGGTGAACAGATGAGTGATATGAACAATATTTAAATGTCTTGATATTTAAATTTTTAAAACTTAGTGGAATTAAAGAAATGGAAGTGATGCATTTTTCAGTTCTCTGTCATTGTGTTAAAATAATGCTGAATGGCCTCTTCCTCTGGCAAACACATACTTAAGTGGGCCAGAGAAGCTGTTGTGTCTTCACTGGAAAAACCTCACCTGGGGCATGTGGCCAGTGGTCACACAGCTCATCCCCCCCCACATAAGTGTTCTTTCCAATTTCAGTGCAAGCTAAATGTGTAAATATGTATTCAAGAATTGTAAAGCACATCCATGCACTCATAGTCTCAGTCTCTTTCTCTCTCTCTCTCTCTCTCTCTCTCACACACACACACACACACACTCTCTCTCTCTCTCGCCTTCCTTCCCCTCCCTCTGTTTCCCAATTGTATGAACATTAGTGGGAATTCACAGCCAAGGGCTTTAAGAAAAATTTAGCAGAAATAATGTTACAGGCTGTCCACTTTAAGAAAATAAATTCTCTGAATGGTCCTAACTGGTTTGTGGTGTGCTCACTGTTGCTTTGAAGCTTCCTGGTTCCGCACAGGTGGGTTTCGTGGGTATTCCACTTCAGTCAAAGCCAATCGGAGAGCAGCTGTTCCCGCTCTGAGGAAGCAGCCCCACTTGGAGGCAGCAGGAGGCCCAGGACGTGGCTCTTGCAGGGGGGTGAGACGTCTCCATGGCCAGCCCTGCTTGCCACAATGGCCCTTTGGAAGAAAGAGCTGCGCATGGCTGGAATTCTGAGAAAAGAACTTCAGAAACCGGTTTCCCAGCAGGCTCCCTGGGGTTTGGGGTGAGATGGCTGCTTTAATCTCTCTTGTCAATTTGCCACTTTGCACATTTATCTTCAGTGATGTTATGCCTTAGATTTCTTTTTTTCTTGTTTGCCCAGAGTTTCACAGCTTCCTTTGGGCACCCAAACAGATGGTTTAAATAAATAAATGAAATTGGGGAAAAAATGTTTTCCAATCAGATTCCATGATGTGTAACATTAGTGGGGCTGCTATCTGAACTTGTAGGTCCCAGCACAGATTTAGAGAGGGAACAGATTCCCTTCTGGCTGGGAGGCAAGAAGAACAAAGCTAAGAGCAGGAAGCCCCTTCAGCTGGAAATGGGGCCGGCCTGCAAGGAGTGGGATTTGCTACCGAGGTCAATTTGGGGGTGAAGTTTCTGAGACAGTTGTTTTTATATAGAATGTTTAAACCTGTTCTACAAGTTGCAGCAAATTCTAGGCTAGCTCCACAAAACTAGAAGAAAGATGTTAACCGTAAGTATTCCATAAATACTGTATACATCATAATACTCTTCTTTCTATAATCTGTCTTGTCAAATCATCAAAGCCATAAATTGTACATTCTATTTTTCATTTCTACATAAAAAATCTGTAAGAAATTTCCAGTCACCAATACTGTAAATTTGTCTAATCAAAGAAGTTAGTTTATTCATTCCCATTGGCCTTTCTACCTTAATTGCTTTTTACAATGATTGCAGAATTAACACCAGAGCCCTTCCCTTAAAAAAAAATACAAGAATTCCAAATGTAGCAGAATTTCAGATTACCCTTTGTATTTAAATGTATAGCAATATGGACATTTTCTTCTGCTTTTGTTGCATGCATTATGGTGTTGCAATTCACAACCCGGATAAGTGACAGTGATAAGTTTTTAAAAAATTCTCTGGAATTTAGAGTTTAAATTTTATTTAAAAATTGTCCAATTCTCTAGATTCAAAATCCTTAATTAACTGCACCTTATAGTTTTCTTGAATAGATTAGGCTGTTCTAATATCAGTGCACTAAATCAGCAAAAAATAGAATTTGAGGTCTGAAACAACAGCGTGCAAAATGCAACATAAGAGAACTGGTGCTGTTGCCCAGAATGAAACTAAGCCAGGAAATAGCACCTGTTCTAGCAGCTGGGGCGAATTTGTGATTTTACTCTCTAGTTATAAAAGGTGTTGTGGAAAAAATGCTAAAATGTTCAAGAGCTTTTTGTGATCCATCACTCTGAACTAGTGAAAATTAGAGATGGGATTTTAGAATAGATTAATCTCTTGGCTGTAAAGCAGCCCAAGCAATGTGGTGCTCACCAACATCCTTCTGTTCATGCTCCATCTTAGTCCTTTAAAAAAAACACAACAAATTGGTGTTTTTTTAGAAGAAAGAAACAAAGCACCAACCTCGAGCATTGTCTTTACAGAATGTCTTTGAAGGAACAGCCCCACGCAGCCTCCATAACCATTGGAACAACTGAAGTGACTGAGGATTTTCTTTGCAAGTTCCCCCCCCCCCATTAGAAAAGGTAAAACTCAGCTGAGGCAGTGGGGGAAATTCCACCAGCTGCTCTTTTAGTAGACAGATGTTTAGCTGAGTAATCAAGCCCACCCTAGTAGCCATTTGGGGAACAAGGCAGCTGGTTTTTTTGAAGAGCATCTACTGGATTTTTTTAAGTAGTCCGGAATAAAGCAGGCTGTCGTTTAGGCCCCCAGGCAGAGCAGAAGATTGCACAGGGAATCCTTGACTTACAACTGGTTGTTCTATCATGCAACTAAACCAGCATTACTCACTCTGGCACATATTATTGATAGGTATGTGAAATTTGATCATAAATGAGTGCATTGATTAGAAAATGTTTTTTATTATTATTATCATACAGAAAGTCTTCGACCTACTGCCATTTGTTCAGCAACTGTTCTAAGTTTTGACAGCACTGAGCAAGTACGACTTTTGAGTGGTGCTGGGAGTTCTGGTGACTGCAGCCTCGCTGGGGTCTGCGATGCGAGTGCCCAGTGGGTGATGAGGTTGCAGCATCCCACAGTCATGTGGCCACAATGGCTGACATTACCTGCCAGTTTCTCAGAAGCAAAGCCAATGGGGAAATAAGTAGGCAGTTGGAAGTTGCGGTCACATGAGGTCCTTGCTTAACAACCTGTGCAGTCCTTGTTTTATGATGACAGCTGGGACTGTTGGAATTGCTGTCACTATCTGGCATGGTCAAGTGTTGTCACGTGTTATGACTGTATTGTTTAGCAGTGGTGATTCAATCTCAATAGTCTTTGTAAGCTGAGGATTATATTTGTGAATGGTTGCTAACTGAGGCATCACTAAACAAGGAGTGGGTATATAACATGCTGTATCCAAACAAACCATATGGTAGCATAGTATAATGGCCTAATTCAAACAGCTTGCTAAGACAAAGTTCCCACAGCTGAGTGAGCTATTGAATACCTAACCATATTTTAACTTAGTCAACCATGTTGTCCTACCAAAGACAATAGGTCTTTTCCTAGTCTCATTAAATTGCAAACAAACAAAACTTAAGATCACTGCTATATATCTTGTTGTAGAAATGAACAAATAGGAGTGTCAAGCCAGAGGAAAGCTACTGTGTACCAGAAAAGAAGTTGAAATGAAGAATAAGCTACTACTGCAGTCATAGGACACAATCTGGTCATTCTCCAGGTGGGTTGAAATGGCAACTCTCAGAATTCTTGGTCAACATGGCCATCCTGGCTAAGAGTTGCAATTTCAACACATCAGGAGATGCTGGGCTGGAAAAGGCTGCTATAAAACTGCTAAGGAAAGATCTGAGTCATTCACTAGCTCCAGCATTCAGCCTGAAAATGATTTAGCTCTTCTGCTCAACAAGACTTAGCAGGAGTTGAAAAGTGCGCATTCCAATCTGATCAGCCTGCCTGATTCATTGTCCAAGGGCCAGGAAAAACTGGGATCCAAGCCTTTCTTCTGGTAGCCTGGCCAGACATGCAAATATCCTAAGCACCCATTTGCTTCTAAATGTATTCTATACTTAGCGATTATCTTCATGCCTCAAGCTAACCACAAGTTTTGTTTAACCACAGGATAAATCAAAATTAGCTGATTCACACCACACACACTAGCTAAACCCAAGAAACCACATTAAACACTACTATGATTTGTGTCCCCAGACTGAACATGGACCTACACATGCTACTGCCTGACAAGACTGCATTTTCAACAGGGACAGAGTTGTTGTTATTCCTTCAGACTTGCTTTCCATTCTGCAGCCTCCCTTCTTTGCCTGGCATCTTTGCCCATTCAGTGGAGCAGGACCAGCATTTAATTAATTCCAAACACCTCAAGCAGGGAAGTCAGGCTACAAGCTTCAGAGGAGATAGATTCAGAAGGTTTTGTGGGAAGTTTTACATCAAAATATATTTTATTCCTTATAGCGTCTTCATCTTCCTTTAAACATTAACAGAATCCACAATGGACTGAGAATCAGTGTCTCTCCTAGATAATTGATCGTCAAGCTGAAACTAAGTGAATCAAGTAAAAATAGCAAATGGAAGAAAATATTTTACTCAAACTTCTTTAAACCCCCAAATAAATTACCCAGACCTAATCCATATATCAGAGAAGGTCTGTAAACAGAGTTAATTGAAACAGTCTCCCAGTGGAATTGCATGTTCACAAGAATAAACATCACCCACAACATGTACCTACTCAAACCCACGCCCCTCAAGCATCACCCTAGAATCAGCATGCACACACTTCCACATCCAGGACAAGCTGCCCTATGAAACAACCCTGCTGCACCCCATTTTCTCTGCACCTTTTTGCTTTTGGGAATAAATAATTCTCCTTTCCTCACAACTGTCTGGATTTTATTTTTACTTATTCTTGCACAATCCTGGCTCCAGCTGGAACCCCAAATTATTCTTCTGACAGGTTCTGTGCAGCGGTGCTGACATGGCAAAAGTGTAAATATTTGAGGCCATCACACACACTTGCACACATATAAAATACAATTTGAAAGACCCAAAGCTTTCAAGAGATTAAAGATTGTTAAGTTTTTGTATAATAATTAATCTGACCTGTAGGTGTTTCTGATAGTAGTTTCAGCGCATAATGCATGTTCCACCGACAGATATGCACAGGATCATTCAAAAGCTGTGCCAGTGCTGGGATGACTCCATGTTCTACAAAATTCGTCCTAAAATTTGGAGCACCATAAATTCACCTTTCCAGAATCTGGAAAATGTAATGTAGAATAACTTCAATTTCCCTGCTCTTTAAAATGCATTTTTACAAAATACTTACCTGCCAATGCTGTGTGTCGCCATTATGTACAGGACCTCTGTAGTTTTTTGTCGCACAGTTTTATCTTCATCGAGAAGCAGCTTTTTCAAGTTCTCTAGAAAACCTGAAAGGAAGAATTGCATTTATTTATTCCATTTATACCTGCCTTTCAACAAAAGTAAAAATGAGAAAATGAAGAATATAAAAAGGCAATGCAAAGGCAGAATTAAAAACAAATACTAAGCATTATAAAAGAGCAAGAGGATTTCTTAAAAGAAAGGATTACAAAAGAGAGCCCCTAATAATGGCAGAGAGATAAAGTAGATCCTCCGTTACCTTCTGACCAGGCATATATACATATTCCTTGACTTACAACCATTTGTTTAGCAAGATAACAATGCTAGTAAAAAGTGACTTATGACCGGTCCTCACAGATATGACCGACACAGCATTCCCACAGTTATGTGATCAAAATGTAGTGCTTGGCAACAGAATATATTTATTATGGTTGCAGCGTTCCAGGGTCATGTGATTGCCATTTATAGCCTTCCCAGCCAGCTTCTGACAAGCAAAGTCAGACCATGTGATTCACTTTACAACGGCAGTGATTTGCTTAAAGAAAGGTCACAAAAACAGGTATGACTCACTTAACCACCAGCTTACTTAGCAGGAGACATTCTGGCCCCAGTGGGGGGGGGGATCAAAGGTCAAGGACTGTCTGTGGATCAGGAACCCTGCCAGTACATCATGCCTGAACTTTAAGGACATAAGAAGTTGAAAAGGGGATCCTTAGGGAGACAGTTAGCAAAATGCAGGTGTCATAAGGTCCAGCTGCATTCTAAATGCAAATTGCTGAAACAAGAAAAATCAAATGAAATTAGAATTTATATGAGAAAGGGACAAAACCTCAACCATGCTGCCACATTCCCCCCCCCCCAAGGTTCTCCTTGCATCCTTATCATGTTAATAATTTTTCCAAGGCCAGATAAATCAGTGAAATAAATTATAACATACAATTAGTTTATATGGCTTGTTTTTATTTCCAATATAGAATAGGATTGAGCAAAGCCAAATTCTATATGAATTTTCGTATCAAACTGTATTATAAAATTAGCTTTTTCCTTTATGTGGGAATTCATAATAATTAATGATTATTTATAATTTAACTTAAAACTTTTAAATTCAGTTTTAAGTTTAAATATTTTTATTTCTCTTCTGCAGTTACAGGTACATGTTTTCTGGGGTTTTTTTAAAATACGTTTCTACATAAGAGAATAAAATGTGAGCTTAGAAAATATAGGAACAATAATATGTTTTAGTTTCTCCCATCTCTACAATGATTCACCCTGGATAATTAGCTGGGGGAAAAAAGCAAGTTGCAATTGGAATTTCTAGAATTCCTACTCTGGATTCAACTCAGAGGCTTTATATGGAGATATAAAAGCTACCAAGCACAAATCCATCTATATCATATCTCAAATTCATAACTCTGGACAGCTAAAAATATTTTACAAACAGATTAAAACATAAAAAACAAGCAATGACAACACACATTTAACTGCAGCTTTGGCTACTGGGAAGGTGCCATGCAAACCTGACCCAGAGGAGGGAGAGGGGGAGAGAGAGAACAGAGCCTGGAAACTAGCACAACTACGGGAAAGTGTAAAGAATGTGTTCATTATAGGAAGGCGTGAATCAAGTTCTGTAACTCAAGGAATCTGTGCAAATGCACAAGTATAGAGAAAAATAAGAAGTCAATGCAGGAAATGCATCTTGGGCATGACTCTCCCTAGGGCAGGGGTGTCAAACTCAATTTCATTGAGGGCCGCATCAGCATTGTGGTTGCCCTTGGGGGGCCGGGTGGGTGCGGCCTACTGGGTAGGTGTGGATGGAGTGGGTGTGGCCTACTGGGTGGGCATGGCCAGCTCTACATCGTTCAAGTCAAGGGTGCCTGTGGGGGCCTGGGCAGGAGTGGGACACATCTGAGGATCTCTGGCAGAAGGGGGTGGGACTGGGGCAAGCGCCAAGACATGGTCCATTTCTTCATTCCTCACAAAGGGTGACACCTGCCCAGCATGCACCCAGGGCGCGGGGCCGACACAGCAGGGGCCGGTCCCTCGCTGTTTCCAGACGACCTTGTGGAGCTAAGATCTGAGGGTCTCTGGCAGAAGGGGGTGGGACCAGGGCAAGTGCCAAGGCATGGTCCACTGGAGGAGCCTCACTATTCCTCTCAGACTATGCAGGAGGGGGGCTTATAGAGCTAAGACTGAATGCGTTTCAACATAAAATTGTACAAAATTGTACATTGGCTCCCGGCCGGCCTGGGCCAGGGCCAAGGCAGTAGGGGTCGTTCCCTCACTGCTTCCAGGATCGCTTCGCGGGCCACATGAAACCACTTTGCGGGCCCCCCTTGTGTTTGACATGTCTGCCCTAGGGTGTTAAGGTAGATCAAAGTACAGACTTGCAAGATTCTGTGACTGTAATACTGTAAGTGTAGTTTTAGTATTCGTAATGTTGGTTTCCACGTCTGGTCTACCTAAGAGCCACTTCGCCTGATCCACTGACTGCCGACTCCTACCCCTTGGTCCTGGTCTTACCCTCTGTCTGGGGCAACAGGGAATCAGTCCACACCCTCCTCGGTGGGACAATCCTTCAGCTCTCTGAAGACAGCAATTACCCCCCCCCCTTGCTCCAATGTGTAGGCAAAACGCCCAGGGCCTTCAACCACTCCCTTTTACTGGACTTCGCAGCCTTCTTTGGAATTTGCTCCTGTGATGGTCTTTTGAAATGTGTGTCTGGATCTGGACTCGGTACTCCAAATGTCACCTGACCAGGTAGGAATAGAATGGACTTCACGTGTAATGCTGGATCAGAAGCAGAAAATGAGCCAACAGTCCAGTCTTAACTTCAGAAAAGGCGACTGCAATCCTAAATACAGAGTTATTCTGTGAGTGAGCTGGGTGGTATCTAAATCTGACAAACAAGCAGCCTTGGCAGGAATTGAGAGTTCAGAAGGGCTCCTTCTTCCTCTTTTCTGCCTCGGTCAGGCTGCACCCAGAATGCTGTGCCCCATGCCAGGTCCCGCATTTTAGGGAGGACCCTGAGCAAGTGGAGCCCAGTGGGAGCAGCCTGGAAGGGGGCAGAGCTGGGGGGGGGGGCTGGGCGCACTTCGCCAGCAGGCAGACCCGGCAGCCGCCTGGAGGCGGGCAGGGGCGTCCGAGGCCGGACTAGAGGATATTCCAGTTACAGGATTTTTTTTACACTCCGCAGTCCTGCTCACTCCCAGCCCGGCGAATCACCGGAGGGTCACTTTAAGAGCGGTGGACTTCAACTCCCAGAATTCCCAGGGCGGCACCCGGGGCCGCGGAGCTCTGGGAGTTGCAGTCCACGCCCCTTGACGCGGCTCAGGCGAGACTCGCGGGGCTGGACGGCCGCTGGGCACCCGGGCCCTCTCCCGCCCGCCGTGGCCAGGCTGCCGCCGCCGCCGCTCACCCAGGCCGATGGCTTGGTAAGCGTTCTCCGGGTCGTGCACCAGGTCGCAGAGCGCCATCAGGGCCCGCTGCCGCGTCAGCAGCTCGGGGTGCTGCAGCTCCTCGTTGAGCTTGGGGAGGCCTCGGCGGCCGAAGGCCACGGGCGCCTTGGTAGGGTCGATGTCGGGGGGCAGCTGGGCCGAGATCCGCGGGTGCGCCATCCCGGAGGGGAGCCCGCCGAGACGCGCGCGCCTGGTTGCTAGGCGACGAGGACGCCGGGCGGGAAAGTCTGCGCACGCGCACCTGCATGCGCGGGGCGGGGCGGGGCTTTCTCTCGGGTCTGCGAGCGCTCGCCCGAACGGCTTCGGGAGCGTCCCTCGTGGCTGTGCCGCGCTCCGAGCGCTCCCCCTCTTGCCGACTCGGACCCGCGTCCTGCGCCTTTGCCCGCCGCCCTCTCTGCGACTGCGCGCCGCCTTTTCCGACCCTGCCGGCCCCTCCCCGCTGGAGGCAGAGGTCGACCCCCGCCTGTTGCAAGGGGTGGAGGGCTGCCGCGGCTCCCAATCCAAACCTTGGGAATAACACCTTCCTCTGCACGGGAAAGGAGCCCACCTCGAATTCCACGGTTGAAAAGTTGCTTAAAGAGTATATTGCAAGTTACGAGAAGGGCCGATCCCAGCAGGTGGTTTAAAACCAACGCAAGGATGGGCACGCTTTACTGCTCACCCAGGCACAGCAAATCGGTTGCCAGGAAGCCTGCGTGTTTTCTGGATCACTTGGTTCCAAGAGCGGATCCGCTCCTGTACAAACACTGGCGGCTCAGAGCCTCGTGCACTTGCAGAAGGGGAGGGAGGGGTTGCTGATTCCCCCCCCCCCCGCTGGGTCGCTGTGAGTCGGTGATGAGTAACCCAGGGGCCTCCTGGAGCTCCTGACTCTGCCGAAGGCCTTTCAGCTCCTGAACTGCAGTAGAAAGATGGTGCTGAGTGGAGCAGGATCAGACCTCAGTTCCTGAACGGGAGTGGTTTCTCTTGTGAGACTCAGCCAGATGCAACACAGAAATGCAGCTGTTTCCCTTCTGATCAGCTGCTGGGCGTTTCCCTGTTTCTTGGCAGGTGGAATTGTGTCTGTTTGGTTCTGAACTGCTGCTGGGCATCCCAAAGAGAAGAGAAGGGACAGGAAAGAGGGGCTCAGAAGAAATGGAAGGATTGTGGCAGAAATTTTGGAGCTTCAGAACGGCAAGAAATGCCCAGACAACAACAAATTTGGGGGGTTATGTGGAAAAAGGCAGAAGGGCTGTTCTGAGGAGCAGGGGAAAAGCATTAATACATGAGCACTAGCAAGGAAATAGAGCCTTAACCCTGACTGTTCCCAGAGGGAAGTGGAACCAGACCAACACTGAGCTGATCAGAGAAGTTTCTTTATTGCTACTTGCCTCTTTACAAGAATCTCAGCTAGATTGACTGCAGTCTCTTGGGAATAACCAGACAAGGGCTGGGGGGGGGGTTAGGGAGGGAGGATAAGTTTGGGTCACTTTCTCGCCTGCCAGGATTCCAAGTTACCTAGTAGGGAGTCTGCCCTGAGAAATGCAGCTCAGAGTAGATAAGAGGAGTAAACAAGCGATAGCTAATTTAAGGAATGCAGGCCTCCACGCACAGAAGAACAAGGCCAAAGGAACTGTGATCCTGGAGGACTCCTGGAGGCCTGGGCAGGTGCCAGAAGGGAAGAGTGAATGTTGCTCCTCTCTTTAGAAAAGGGAAGAAAGTGGAGCCAGGAGAGTAGAAGCCAGTCAGCTGGCTGTGTACTGTACAAATGACAAGGTCTTCAGGCATGGAGGAGAAAAGGCCTTTGGTGGGATGCAGCTGCTCAAAGGCAAATGCAATTAGGGGTGCATTAATGGGTTCAGAGCGTGAGAAGCAACTGTTTCCCCCCCCCTTGCAATTCTGTGTCCACTTCTGCTACCATCACCATCTAAGCAGGATGATGACAAACCGGGTGTGATCAGAGGACAACTGTTGATGGGATGAAGGCTCTGGAAGGGCACAGAAGAGAAGGCTGGGAAAGATGTGGTGGTGCTCTTCAGAAATCCAAAGGCTGCCCTGCAGAAGGGGGGGCAGCACAGGAGCCAAGAGCCGGAGACCACCACCAGGAAGCGGATTCGGGTTAGGGCCCAGGAGGAACTGCCTTCAGGCTGAATTGCAGCCTTTCTTGGAAGTGTGAAGTTTCCATTGGGGGGGGGGCGTGTCTTCCAACAGAATGACAGACTTGGAAGGGACCCTAGAGGTTTTCTAGTACAAACGCAAGTTGAGAGAGTAGATGACCTCCAAGGTCCCTTCCAATTGTATTATCATATGCTGCATTTCCGTAAGGACCCTTGGAGGTCATCTGGTCCAGCCCCCTACTCGGTGCAGGAATCCTCAGTCTGTTCGTGTGGAATATCTGTGATCGAAACCAGAGACGGGTTCCAGCGGTTTCGCATCGAATTGGGGCGGGCGGGGAGGGGGGCGCCCTTCTGGGCACGGAGCCTCTCCTGGCACCGGAGGGGAGGGGAGGGGAGGCATTTTCGGGGAGGGAGGGGAGCGCTCGTCGGCGGAAGGCGGGAGGGAGGGGAGTTGGGCTGTTGGAAAAGCTGCCCGCCCCGATAGCGCGCGGGCGTCGGGGAGGGCCGTGCCCGGGGAGGCCTCCCCCTTGGACCGGTTGCCATGGCCACGCGGCACTGGCGCCGGAGCTGTCCGCCGAGGTTGTCTCGCCTCCCGCTCGGCGCTGCGGGGCCGGGGAGCCGCTCGGGACTTCGCCTGCAGCGCCGCCGCCCTGCTCGGGAGCCCGTGCGCGGAGGTGCCGGGGCTGCGCGCTACCCTTCGGCGGGCTGCTGCAGGTGGCCGAGCGGGGAAAGCCCGCCGCGGCCCTTCCGCTCCCCGGGGCTGGGCGGCTGCGGGGAAAGCCCCGGGAGAGCTGCACGGAGGGCCGGTCTGGGTGCTGCTGCTGCTGCTGGCCGGGGAGGGAGGGAGGGAGGCGCCTTCGGGGCGGCCACAGGGCGGTCGGGGGCCGAGCCGGCGAGAGGCACTTGCCCGGCTGCCGCTGTTTCGCGAAGCGCCTCCCGGCAACCGGCGCTCCCTCCGCGGGTTCGGAGCCTGGCCGGGCGCGGGGACGACCGTCGGGCTTCCCCCGGGTGGGTGTGGCGGAGGGAGCGGCCGAACGCCGGCTGCGCCTGTTCGTGCTCCGGCCGGGGGAGACGCGGGGCCTGTGCGTGGCGAGGCGCCCCTGGCAACGGCGCTTCAGCCGGGACAGGCGAAGGGCCCGCTCGGAAAGGCGCCCAGGGCCAGGAAGGGCGGCCAGCCCCTTTTCCGCCGAGGGAAGGCTGGCCGCGGAGGGCCCGCAGCAGGGCGACCGGGGCAGGAGGCGCGGGGGCTTCTGCCTCTTGTCCAGGCGGGGCTCCCGGGAGGAGCTTGGGGAGCGCTGCTTGGGCCGAGGGGCCGAGGCTGCCCGCCTGTTCTCTGCTGGCCTCCAGAGGCCGACCCGGTCCCGTCTCTCAGCTTCGTGGGCACGCAGAGATGCTGGCCTCCGCCGGCCCGGCCGGGGAGGGGGAGGTAGAGGAGGGGAAAGTGGCCTCACCCGCTTTCGTTTGTCCCCGCAGCCCCCCAGGCTGGGCGATGAAGGGCCCCCTCCTGCCCGTGGGCAGAGACCGCAGGATCTCCGACTTCCCCAAGGTAAGCAGGGAAGGCCGGTCCGCTCCTCCCGGGGGGGGTCTTTGCCCGGGGGAGGAAGAAGTGGCGGCCCCCTCCCAGCCTGGGCGTTCTAGTGCTGCCGCTCCCCTCTGTCCGCAGTGCTACACCCCGGAGGCCTGTCTGCAGCTCAGGGAGGACTTCCACGCCCAGGTGAGGGCGGCCTGCCAGCGGAGGAGCCTGGGCTCCGTTAGGTGAGTCTGCCTCCTTTGCTCCCTGAGCTCCTCCGCCTGCCTTGCCTTCTCAGGGCCTTCCCTTACTTAGCCAAGCAAACCACCCAGGTTCCTCCTGTTGTCTAATTCCTGATTTAGGAAATCATCTCACTCTTTTTTTATTTTTATTTTATTGTTGTAAATTGGCCACCCAGTTCCTGGAGATCCTGAGCAGCATAAAGAACTAGAAAAGACATAAAATCAGCTAAAAATATTAAATCAAGCCAACAGCCCAGACTAGCACATTCTAATAAATAACAAAATCCAGAAAACCAAACAGAGGCCATTAAGCAAATAACAGGCATCAACCCCAGGCCTGGGACCCAAAGCTTTCCAGAACCTCAGGAGAAAAGAGCCTGATCTTTGGGGGGGGAATCTTGTTCCAGAGAGTGTGGCCCCAACAGGGAAGGTACTCTGCCCAGGTCCCACAAGATGCTAACATTTAATGGGAGCCCCCTGGAGTGCTCCCACTCTGCTGGAATGTACCGGGCAGGCAGAAGCCTCTCAGGTATCCCGGCCTCACACAGGACTTCATAGGTCACCGGGCAGCCAACGTAGCTCATGAAGCAGTGGTGACTCACAGGCACACCAAGAGGCACCTGTTGCTGCTGCTGGCGCCACTGCATTTTGAATCACCTGAAGCTCCCGTGTGGTCTTCATGAGCATCCCCTGGTAGAGCACATGGCAGTAGTTGTGAGATGCCCAGGGCCTGAGTGGTTTTTGGAAGGGCCTCCTGACCGAAAAAATGGAACCCAAGATGAACCCCGGTGCAAGAGCCAGGATGGCTGACGCGGGAATCCTAGGAAGTTCAGGTTGCCAGGATTGAGAAGCACCCCATGGAAGGAGAATGATGGGTGTTGCTTTCCCTGTCAGAGAAGGGAGAGGAGTTGTTGGGTAAAATGCGGGTCCAGCATTGTGGCCAAAGCTGGACTGAAATTTGGAGGCCATTTCTCAAGCCAGCCCAATTCTGACCACCTTCAGCTGGTAGACAAAACACTTAAGGCTGCGTGTAGAAGAGCCCTCGGTGGCCTCTGCATGCCAAGGCTGGGAGGTTGTTCTGCTTCATCGTGGCAGGGTCTGAAAAGATCCTCTGGCTGGGATATTTTCAAGCCCCACAAGGGGGCTTCTGGTGCTCCGTGCAAAAGTGCCCCCAAACTGTAAAGGCGGGGTGGGGTGGGTGGAGGGTGCAGCTTCTCAGGGAACATGAGAAACTGACCTCTGGGAAAAGAAAGAGGAGGAGAAATATGCAGGAAAAATGTGATTGTGCGGGTAACTCTGTTGGATCCAAGTGAAAATGTCGATTGTGTATCTTCTAGGAGATCAATTATTGTAAAATGGTCTCCCTCTATGAATTATCCTAGTCACTGCATCTCTAAGCTAGAGAGTCCCAGCAACCTGCTGATTAAAATGTTGGACCAGGAGCCTGGAGGCCTCGGTCAAGCCCCTGGGGAGCTTGGCGGTCCTTCTCGCTCAGCCCAGCCTTCCTTCCTGGGCTGGGCTGAGGTTTGTGAAGTGCAGGTTTGTTGAGGGAGAAGTAGGAAGCAAAGGCAGGTAATCTAATCAATATGTACAGGGATATTCTGGTTTACATTTTGCTGGAACTAAACAAATGCAAGATCTGTTTGTTTTGTGAAAACAAATCCATTTTGGTTCACCTTCATGTCCTGATGTTGTTTTCGCTGCAGATCAGGAAGAGGGTCCTATCTGTTTCTACATTTCTGGAGCCCTCTCCGCCCCCCCCCCCCTCCAGTTTGCTTGAGATTGAGAAAGAATTTGGGGCGGGTGGGTGGAAGCAGAGGGATGCAAAGCCCCATTGAAGTCTGAACTGCTTCAAGCTCCAGAGAAGGATGTGATGCTTCTGATAGGGAGGACAGGGCCAAGTTGGATCAAGTCATCAAGTCAAGTTCATTCGCTCCATGAAACAGTCTGCTTTTTCCTAACACCATATCAACATGTCCACTGGGAAAATGTGTGTTGCAGCCTAAAGATCTCCAAAGCGGTCGTGGTGGGAGACCTCTGTGTTGGAAAAACAAGCCTTATCAACAGGTATCATAATGCTTCCTTGCCAAAGTCATTCCATTTTCCAGCAGAAATTAATGGCGGCGTCTGTGTTTCCCCTCCCCCCCCAGGTTATTCTAAGTTCACTGGTCATTTCCTGCAGGGATCCATGAGTGCCATGCAGGCTGCTTTGGGCCCTTCCTAGGGTGGGTGAAGCCCCTGTTCCTTGGGAGCACTAGAGGCTGGTGGAAGTGCCAGGCCTCAGAGCCAGGCTGTGGGCAGGGTGCAGAGGAGGAGGAGTTCTTCCTCCCTCCCCCCCCCCAAGGAGGCTGTTGATGGACCGGAGCTCGAAAGCCAGACTTCTCTCAAAAAGGGTCTAATGCAGTGGTTCTCAACCTTTTTAATGCTGCGACCCCCCCCAACCGGTCGTAAGTCGAGGACTACTCAACCGGTCGTAAGTCGAGGACTACTCAACTGGTGCAGCACCGTTTGCAGAATGGGACTTTTGGCGGGCTCAGCAGGGCAGAGACAGCCTGGACAATTCCTATTGGCTTTTGAAAGCCAATAGAATTAGACTCTATTCAAGAGAGTCTATTCTATTGGCTTTCCAAAGCCAATAGAATAAAAGGGAGTAGCAGAGCTAAGGAAAAGAGGGAAAAAATGGCGGACTACGTTGTTTGGCGACCCCCGTGAAATGGTCGTTCGACCCCAAATGGGGTCCCGACCCACAGGTTGAGAACCACTGGTCTAATGGCAGGTGTGGGTTATGCAAGCGAACCAGGAATATGTACCCAGCTTCTAATAAAAATCTTAGGTTATGACATTTATCCCTGTTCCCCAAAGCACAGAAAATATTAGTTGTTGTGGGCGTCATCGAGATGACAAATGTGCTTATTTGAAATTTAGCCGTTCTTGGGCTTTTCTCAAGCTCACGTCACCGAAATTTCAGAAGGAATGTGGAGCACCTTTTCCGGCTACCAAATTTTATTTTAAAGCAGCAGCTTTCGTTCCCTTCATCAGACTCAGGGAGCAGTTAAAACCATCCATTTTCTCTGCTATTTTGTGACCTTCCCATGCTGATCATCTGGCCTGTGTGCTGATACGCACGTAAAGGGACAAGCACAGTCTTTTGAAAGAACTTCCAAGATCTAAAATGATATGCTGACTTTTTCCTAACCATTTTTCAATTGCAGGTTTTGTAAAGAGGCTTTTGACCGGGATTACAAGGCAACCATTGGCGTGGATTTTGAAATTGAGCGTTTTGAGATCGCTGGGGTGCCCTACAATCTTCAGATGTGAGTTGGAAAATAGCTCCTGTCCCCGTATCCCCTTCCCCATTTCCATGTATTTGGAAGGTTTCGCCAGAATAACTTTAAAGCAGCATTTCTGATGGAGAAGTCAGCTTTGCGTTACAAAATGCCTTCGCTTGAAGGGAGCGTACAAATTTTATGTGCATGCATGCAACCCGACGCACGGAGAATTTTTGCCAAGTAAAGTGTGTACTCAGGATGTTGGGCATTGTGCCTCAACTCCCAGATTCCGTCAGCCCTCCAAGGTAGACCAGGCTGGAACACTGGAGCACTCAGACCACTTTTATTACATAGTTACAGTATAGGTGGTCCTTGACTTATGACTTGAAATCATGCCCACTTCGGTCATGTGTTGTGACGATTGTAAAGCGGGTCACCCATATGACAGACCTGACTTTACAACTTTTTTTTTTTGGGGAGGCGGTGTTAAACCCATTTTTCGCATTTTTGACATTTTTGCTGAAAGAAAAAGCCAGTTATTGGCAAAAACTTCATAAATTATGACCACGGGATGCTGCAAGCAGCTGCAAATGCTGGCCTGAAATGTGATCACATGACTGCGGAAGGGGAGCCATTCAGGCTCTGGAATTGGATCGTAAATACCTTTGGAGGGGGGTCTGTTGTAAGTCAAGGACTATCTGTAACAGATTCCTGCAGGCCAGAATGTGCCTCCCCCCCCCCTGTGAGAAGTAGGGAGAGTCACATCTGAGAAGCTTTCTCAGATTAGTTTCTGCCCCAATTCAGATTTCTTTGATCTGATCATTGCAGCTTTTCCTCAGGTCCCTCAGAGTTATTCCTTCTGCCTGTCAGAGACCCCCTACCAGGGCATTGGACCCCCTACCATCCAGCATTAGATCTGAAATTCCAGTGCACTTGATGATGCGGCAGTTAAGATCTGGTTGGGCGCCCAGGTAGGTTGCCTAAAAACTGCCTCTCCAGCGTTTTCCAACGGAAAGCCTCCCAGGAGTAGAGCAGCTAATGAAGAGTGGGGATGTGTGCTTGTCTTTGTCTTGGGGCCTGTTCAATTAGCATGGTCTCCTGGGGCCTTCAGCTAAACGGGCTAACGAGGGCTTTACTGGTTGGCAGTAACCAGTGACCCAGAATGGAAGCTGGGATGTCTCAGAGGCAGCTTCGTCTGAGCCTCAGAAACCCTGGCCAGGATACCGAATTCTGGAGGGCTGCAGCACTTGAGGGAGTCAGTTTCCCGTTGAGCAGCTTCTGAATGCCAAGCAAACTTGGGGGATTCTTGAAAGCTCAGCGAGGGTTGGATCTCACGGAAGCCAAGATCAAGAATAACTGGACGTCTGAGCTTGAGAAAAGCCCAAGCTCCTCAACTGGTTACCTCCAGTTGAGGAGTCCATGTCCATTGAGGCTAGCTAAGGAAAGGCCGCAGGGGCGGAAAGTTCAAAGGAGTCTGAAGCCAATGGAAGAATTCAGGGTCCTGGGCGTCTTTGCCTCTTATTGAGCCCAAAATACATCCTGCTGAGCTATTTCTGGTGCCAAATAAACGCAGATGGGCTGGGGGCCCATCTCAGGATGGGGTCTAAAGAAATGGCGATCCGTACCTGGCTGCCTAATTGAATTAAAGCAAATGGGGGTGTGGGTGTTCCGTGCCTCTGGAGAGCCAAAGAGGTCCTCTTGTGATTTAAGCTGCTGGTCTCTCTTGGATAGAAGAGGCTTTAAGACTGATCCATGTCTCCAGAGCTCTGGATTCCTCTAGCTCAGGGGTAGGCAACCTTGGCTCTTTTATGACTCGTGGACTTCAGCTATGCTGGCTCGGGAATTCTGGGAGTTGAAGTCCATAAGTCATAAAAGAGCCAAGGTTGCCTACCCCTGCTCTAGCTGGTTTGGTGGAAAGCATCTGGGTTTATTTGGCACCCGAAATAGCCCAGCAGGATGTATTTTGGGCTCAATAAGAGGCAAAGACGCCCAGGACCCTGAATTCTTCCATTGGCTTCAGACTCCTTTGAACTTCCTACCCCTGCGGCCTTTCCTTAGCTAGGCTCAATGGACACGGACTCCTCAGCTGGAGGTAACCAGGTTCAGTCCTGGATCAAGAGCAGGCTGAAGGCGATGTGCCACCCACAGGAACCAGCGTGTCCACATACCCTCCCTTTGGCATTCCCCAGGCCACCTGCAGCACCCGATCTTCACTTCTTCTTAAGGTCCTTGAAGTGAAACAAAAATAAGAGGGATCCTGCATGGTGTAGAAAGAAACCTGCCATCTTCTCCACCCCCCCCCCCCCAGAGAATCCCTGGTGGGTGACCTAACCCCTGTCTGGTGGGGAGCTGGGGGGGCACAGAGCCTCCCGGAAGGCTGCAGCAACGTCCCTTCTGCCTCATGGGGAATGAAGGGGCCACTTCGGGCCCTCAGCGGGGCCACTGGGTGAAAGCTTTCGCAACACGCACCAGCATCTCAGATGTATTTGTTGTTCAAACGATGTTGCTTATTCCTGATCTAACGACAAAATCCCCCCGAATGGCTCCCCCAAATGCGGCTGTTCGGTGAACTCAGTAATGAACTTGGCCCAGGAGGGACTTTTGCTTATGGAACTGTCATTTAGCTTGTTCTTTCTGTCTCAAATACAAAAGTCTCCACCTTCTAAAGTGGGGAGTTATTCAGCACGTAGGCTGAAGAGAATACATGTTGTCCTCGACTTATAACAGTTCATTTAGTGACCATTCAAACTTGCAATGGCACTGAAAAAAATGACATGACCATTTTTCACACTTATGACCGTTGCAGCATCCCCGGGGTCAGCTGATTTACATTCGGGCACTTGGCAACTGACTCACATTTATGACAGTTGCAGTGTGTCCCGTGTGTGGGTGTGTGTGTGTGTGTGAGTGTGAGATGTGATCCCCTTTGCGACCTTCTGACAAGCAAAGCCAATGGGGAAGCCAGATTCATTTAACAACCTTGTTAACTAATTTAATAGCTGCAGCAATTCATTTAACAAACGCGTCAAGAAAAGTTGTAAAATGGGGCAAAAATTTCTCACTTAGCAACATAAATTCTGTGTTCACTTGTGGTCGTAAGTCGAGGTCTGCCTGTATTGAAGTGGGGGATGCACGGATGCTGATGAATAACAGCCAGAGTGGTTTTTATCCAATACGTATATTGTGTGTGTGTATTTTCATTTTGAAGAAGGAGAGGAAGTCGTCCTTTGGGCTTTTGGCCCAATCTCTCCTTTAGTTGTGTCAGTGGGAGAATTTAGGTCCACCCAGAGCCCCGGGTGACTTTCTCCTTCCCTCCTGCCCAGATGGGACACGGCCGGCCAGGAGAAGTTCAAGTGCATCGCCTCTGCCTACTACAGAGGAGCGGAAGGTGAGCCGAGGGTGAAGACCCTGTCCTTGTTTGCCCCCCCCCCCATCTTTGGCGTGGCCAACCGGTGGCTCCAGGGCTGCTCAAGCCTTGCACAGTCTTATTTTACTTTCTTGGCAGTGATTATCACAGTTTTCGACTTGGCTGACATCCAGACCTTGGATCACACCAAGTAAGTCACTCCAGTTTTCCCTTGTGGCTGACTTTGCGTATCCCACTGAGCCACGAATAATGGAACCGCGTTTATTGGCTGAGGAAGACCTGCCTGCTTTTACACAAAGGCAAAGTCCAGCAAACCCTGTTACAATTCAGATCATTCCTGCTGTAGCAGTTTCTGCCATCTGAAAGATTTTTTCCAGCCATTTTTTGGCCAAAATAATACCATGGTGGGTGGAAAAATGGCCTATTAGTGAAACATTAAGCTTACCTGGATGATTAAAGGGATCTGATCCTGCACGCCCACTCTGACTTCTGCCACACACTACACAGAAAGGCCTTTAAGCTGGCCTGTGGCATTCCTTTTTTTGAGAATTTTTATTGATTTTTTTAATGTTCAAAAGTACTTATTCAACAAACATGTTGTCTGAGTTTATCATTCACTAATACAGATTGAATTCCTAATCCCTTATTCTTTTCTTCAGCCGTTGATAAAATGTCCCAAGTTTGAAAATACTGTGTTTCTTCTTTTTCTTTCAACCTCAGAGTAAGTCTGTCCATTTCCGTTCAATCTAGTATTTTTTTAATTATTTCTTCCTCTGGTGGTATTTCTTCATTTTTCCAATATTGTGCGAATATGATTCTTGCCGCTGTTACCACATGTAAAATCAAGGATATACCTTGTTTGTCAAGTTTTTCTGGCCTGTGGCATTTCTGTAGCGAAGAATCGAGCTCAGAGTGGCCGTCACTAACTGGAGTTTGGAGTCATGGCTACTCCACATCTAAGTGAGACACTCAGCCTCAGAAAAGCCACATGCGAGTTAAATATTAATTTGCACGCAGGGAAGAGGCACGCACGCATTAACTCTGTGAGGAACAAAGCTCCAGCGGGCTCTGGGCTCTTCTTCGGCTCATGTGGTTTTACCCAGGCTGTTTTTGGGGGGGGGGGGAGGATCCGTTGACTCATTAACTAGACTTGGTGGGCAGGAGGCCCGCATCCAAGGGGACGGGCACAGGGACTGCCTTGTTTGCTGAGCGGGAGAACAGATGGCGCGCCTTCCTTCCCTCTGCCCTCTGCCTCTCCTCCCCAGGCTGGGAGTCTGCTCCTTCTCTTTCTGCTGCGCTACCACTTGGGGCATCGCCAGGCCAGTTTGCCAGTTCAAAGGAGCAACGGTGCAAACCTGGGCAGATGGCTGGCCGCCACCTGATTAGGTTCGCAGAGGGGAAAACAGGCTGAATGCCGAGAGGCAGAGGGCAGAGACCTGTTCACTTATTTAAAACATTGCTCTAGCTCCCCCTGCCTTATAACAGACTTTGGTTGGTTCCCAGTCAAGAATTAAAACAACATAAAATCGTATTGAAAGCCATAAACATTGAAAATAAAAACTAGGCGCCATGTCAAGCTTCCAGCATGCAGCCGCCTCATCCTATCGCAGCCTTTGGGGGAAAGCGAGGCCTTCAGTGCTTTCCAGAAGGGCAGGAGGGCAGAGGCCTGCCACGTTTCAGGGGAAGGGGGGTTCCACAGGGCAGCGGTACCACAGACAAGGCAGGCTTCCCATAAAATGGCTCTGTTTGGGGGAAGGGACCAGGGCCGTCCCCACCCTATCTGATCTGGCAGGGTGGTAGGTGACCTTAGAGAAGGTGGTCCGGCAGATAACCTGGGTTTTGAAAGGGATGAGCAGCATCTTGAATTGCCCCTGGAAAGAAACTGGAAGCTGGTGCAGGTCACACACAGAGATGCTACGTGGGCAAAGCTTGGGGCCCCCATTGCAGTGTTGCTTTGTCCCGAACGACGTTTCTGGATGGTTTTCAAAACAACGTAACGCACATTGCAGGGTCCGTGTGGGAGGTGAGCAAGGCACAGGTGACTGGGGGTGGGATGCACTTTGTTCACCTGCCCCTCCAGGCCCAACAACCAGGGGGAGCCTGTCTGTTGCAGCAGGATGGGGGAGGCATCCTTGGGGCTGGCAGAAGGCGGCCTACGCAGGGTCCCTTTCTGCCCCAAGCACGACTGAGACAGGTTTGCCTTCTCGGTGTATCCCTCGTTCGCTCACCTGTCCTCTTCTCCCTGTCCAGACGGTGGCTGGAGGAGGCCCTGCAGGAGAACCGCCCTGGCTCCAGCTTTGTGTTTCTGGTGGGAACCAAGAAGGATCTCCTGGTGAGTCTGAAGAAGTCTGTCTCAAGGACCAAGTGGGTCAGTTGGGAATCCATCTGCAGCACGGTGAATGGAGCCCGTCTGTCTGTACGAGAGCCCTGACAGCTCGGGAGATGGGGGCTGTGGCTGGCGGAGTGAAGAGCTGGGAGGCCCCCAGACCTTGCTCCTCTGCCATAAGGGAACGGGCGTCAAGATGGCAGCCAAAACACACATAAAAAAGAGGCAGAGCTTCCATTACATTGTTCTGTCTCCCATCTTGGTGTTTTTGACCATATCCAGTAGACACTGGAGTTATCCCCTAGACCAGGGGTAGGCAACCTTGGCTCTTTTATGACTCGTGCACTTCCACTCCCAGAATTCCTGAGCCAGCTGCTCAGGAATTCTGGGAGTTGAAGTCCACAAATCATAAAAGAGCCAAGGTTGCCTACCCCTGCCCTAGACCATTCTTTTGGGGTCGGTGCAGTACATTTGAAAGAGGAAGAACATGCACTGGATGTTCTTGTGAAGCAACTGAGGGGAGGGTGGCCTTTTTGCTGCCCCCCCAACCCCAAAACCTGGCCCCTCCTTTCCTTTTTCCTTTCTCTACTAGGGAGGTGGCTGCATCTCCCCATTCTTTTCTCAGAAAGCTTATCTGGGCTCTTCTGGGAAGAGGGTGCTGGAGGTGAGGCTTGGGGGCTACCCTGCTTCCCCCCTTGAATCTCTTTTTCACGCAGACAAGGCCAGAAGCGCAGGGGAGCACCCCAGGCTGTCTGTCCCCCCCCCCGCATCCTCCTTTGCGTTGCTGCCCCCCCTCCCTGTGGATCCTTCATATCTTGGCAGTAGGAACGATCCACAGCTTGTAGGGCTCGTTGGGCTGGCTGTGTGGCCTGATTCCACATACTCCACTTGTGGCATTCAGGTTGTGTGGCACGGCCTGGTCAGCCACCTCTGGCTAAGGCAAGAGTCCGTTGCCCTGAGTGAGGAGCTACTGGACAGGGCAGCCACTCCACCCCCAAGTGGGGCAGGAGAGGGCAGGAGGGGAGAGGGCTGGCCTGCAGAGTCCTCGTACACCAGGCTGTGGAAGTTCGGCTGCAGTCAACTCTGCCCCCTCATCTACTTGGGAGGCCTTTTAAGCTCACTGTTCCACCCTACTCCTGCAGCTGGAAACATCCCCGCAGCCCCCTCGTGGACCGGGAAGAGGGCAGTGGAAAAGCTGGTGCTTATGTGTGGGGGCAGCACCCCATTCCCCGTCTGTGGCTCTTTCCGTTTCAGTCCAATGCAGAGAGCGAGCGGACAGAGCGGGATGCCGTCCGTCTGGCCAACGAGATGCAGGCGGAGTATTGGTCCGTCTCGGCCAAAACAGGTCAGTTGAGCCACAGGAAGGCAACGCAGCAGATCCAGGAGGTAATGCCCCCCCAGCCCCCCAACACTGTCTGGAAGGAGATGCTGGGCCCCTAGGGTCACCCACCCACCTTTGGTGTTACAAGGAGGCTTCCTCGTGTGCAAGGGAGGTCTGGGACCACAGTACCCATGCGCCTGTGCATTTGTTCTCCCAGCAAGCAGCCACGTTTTGTCTGTTCTCTGAATACAGCAACAACAGTTAGCAAATGTATCTGCTTGTCGGGTTTTAAGAATTTGGGGTGTCTCCCCCCAATTTTTCTCTTTCAATTCAGGGGAAAATGTCAAGGACTTTTTTTTCCGGGTCGCTGCCTTGGCCTTTGAGCGGTCTGTGCTGATGGAGCTGGAGAAGAGCTGCAACCGGCCGGTGCCAATCGGCACAGGAGACTTCATCAGTAGGTGGACCCAACTACCTCCCCCCTCCTCGGAAGGGGTCTTTCTTTCTAGATCAGTGTTTCTAGATCTGTACCTGAAGACAGATGGACTTCAAGTCTCAGAATTCCTTAACATGCTGACTCTGGAATTCTGGGAGTTGACATCCACCCATCTTCAAGTTGGGGATCACAGAGAGGGCGGCTAGAGTGCTCCTGTCCGGAAGCACCCCTGCGGGGTTCAGTGGGGCTTCTTCCTGGTTGAGCCCAGGGAACGGCAGCATTCAGCTCTCCCAAGGTGGCCGAGGGGACATCCAAGCCCATTCTGAGAAACACAAATACAATCCCTGGCATTTGGGGCTGGGAGGAGGACAACGCTTTGAAGCCTTTCCCTCCCCCGGGTCCCAGGTAGCCCCCATAGCCCCCCCCCTTGGTCTTCTCCTTGCAGGGATAGAAGAAAACGTGGTGTCTTCACATGGATCTCGTCCATCCAACCTGAACTGCTGCTAATGGCCGACAGTCAGCCGGAGCTCCCAGTGGACACACTGCAGGCTGCCCCCCTCACTCTTGGACAAGCGGGAAACCACTGGATCTCGGAGAAGCCCAGGAGTGAGGCAGAGCCAATCCCCACCTCTGCTGCTCCCAAAGCCCTGCTGAGCCATGGAGGCTCCCTTGCAGGAAAGCCCGGCCCAGCTCCCTCTCCCCGGAAACTCTCCTCGTGCTCCAGATGCGAAGCGTTCGCTTCCTGGTTACCTGCAGATGGTAGAAACAGACCACGGCTGCTGACTGGATTAATTCAGGGCAACAGCCCCAAACCAGGTGAACCTTCCTGGCAGCCGCAAAGTCTACTGGAGCTGGACTTCTAGTTAAACCTTAACCATGACTAATAGCTGCTAAAACCAGCAGGAGGAATTTGTACTTTAAAAGGAGGATATCTGGAGGGAGAAAAGCTGATAATCCCTGACTGTCTCCTATTTAGGGCCCTTCTAGTGGACTCCGGGCACCAGAGCGTCTTGCGCTGAATTGTTTGAATTACTTGTTAGCTTTGCTTAGAATTGCTGCCAGAGCAACTCCTGTAAAAACAAAACTTTGTTTTCATGTCCATCGTAGAATTAAAGGCTGTGCTGGAGGGCCCAGAATTCTGTGCTGCGCATCCCCCCCCTAGTTCAGCAAGACTTTAGCAGCCGTCGGTGACCCCTGCCGCATGTGGGACCCAGAGAGTTTGATTCAAGAAGCGAGTCCTCACACTTTGGCTTCAGGGAGACCTCTTGGCTAGTGGTGGAGACGCACGTCTAGCAGTACGGGGAAACTCTGAAAGGAAAGAAATTTCGACAACTCGCCCCCTCGTCAGTGGATGTTATTCGCAACACGTAAAACCACCTGGGTACGTGCTGTGCCAGGCCTGGTCAGGCCCTCCCTGGTTGAAGGGAAAATTCACCCATTCCAGACCGGTGAATGTTTCCTGCTGCCAGTGATGCATTGTGGGAGGCGTCTTGGTTTGCAGAGGTTTTCCTCTGGGTTTATTTGTTTCACGACACATTAGCTTTTAGTAGTACAGGTAGTCCTTGACTTACGACCACAACTGGGCCCAAAATTTCAAACTGTTCCAACTTCAAACGGTCACTAAATGAAGGGCTGTAAGTCAAGGACCTGTACTGATGACGTCCAAGAAGCAAATGGTGCAAGCCGGCCTTTCCTTGATGTTTCTAAATTTACACAAGTAACAGACTGACTTAGTGCTGCTCCTGAATCCCGTCAAATCACATGTCAAGAGCCCAAATAATTTTGGAGGTTTTTTTGCCATTATAACTGAAGGAAGAAATCCCTCTAACAGGTAAGAAACCCCCTCTGTGCTCCCAGCTGACCGTGCACCCAGGAGGCTGGCAGAGAAGGCCAGGGTCCTGCCAGTTGCTGGGGAAGCTTCTGGCTAGAAACAGCCCCTGGCTCTGCACTGAAAGGCAGCCCCCCTCCCCCCCATTGGCTACCTCTGAATTGCCCAGCAGTTTCTTTGGGAAGAAGGAGCTGATAACCCACGTGGTGTGTGGGGGGGGGAGTGCACAGTCTCCTCATGAGTAGGAATGCCACCACTTCCCGCCAGAGCTCTGCTTTGTCTGGAGACGCTGTTCTGCAGCGTGTCTGTCGTTCCTTCAACGGACACGGTGCTGCCTCTGGAGCTGTTCTGGGGCTGCTGTTCAGGCACTGCTAGGCCCAAAAGGCTCTCTGACATCACCGCCACCATCGCAGGGCGAGCTTGCACTGGGTGGGAACGCCCCGAGGCTGCTTTTTAGGCGGAATGGAGCCAGGCCGTTCCAGCCTGTGAACAGCCCAAGAGCCCAGCAGTGGGAGAGGCAGAGCTTTGCAAAAGGGTCTGGGGTACCAAGTCACAGCAGAGAGAATAGTTTTCTTCTGTTATTCTCCCCAAATTGCAGCACTGTCACTAAACTTCCAGGCTTCTCCGAGTGTGACATTTCTCCAGAATCTTTTGAAGCACGGATACATGCAGTATTCTCCCACGTGCATATAGAGTACATGCAGTACACATGGTGGAGAGTCTACCGTGTTCTCCATCCTGCGTGTGACAGAGGCTGCCAATTGCACAAGTAGCCCCAGAAAGACCAGCACAGCCCTTGCTGAGAGTGGCTCCAGGGACCAAATCAGGCAGGACTGATTGTGCTGCCCCTCGTCAGCCTCTGCCTGATCCACTTGCAAACATGATCTTGTTTCTCAGGGCTTAAAAACAGTTTCATCACCACCACCCTTTGCCTCACTGTTGGTTTTTGCATATTTCCCTCAACGTTGTCTCCCTGACTCTTTCAACCAGCTGATCCTACAGGGCAGTCAGTCCCTTTTGGGTGGCCCGGCATTTTAATTTGTAGTTAAAAGTTGCATTAGCCAGGAAACAAGGGAGATGACAGGGCCATGCTATGCTCTTCCCCCTTGGTTGTGACTCTGATCTGCAAAAGTGTCCCTGCACAGCAACACCAAGCAAAGTTCATTCTTTGTTTTGCAAAAATATGGGTGGGAAGGAGGGGGTGTCTCATAAAGCCAGGATGTTTCTTTTTTTCCTTTTTTAATTCCTTGTGTGTCCAAGGAATTGGCCAATGAACCTATTCTATTCTATTCTATTTCTAATTCTAATTCTTAGATAATAGAGGAGGCAATTTCTTTGTAGCAATTGTGCCGTTCCCAAGACTGTCAGCTGTCCTGGCATTACTTCTCAGTCTGGAAAAACAGAATTATTATTTCTGACTCCTTTTTCTCTGCATCACGTTGCACACCTCAGAAGGGAACACTGAGATGGCTACAGCATGTGGGAGAAGCCCAAGAGCAGCTGTACAAGACAAAATAAATGGCTTATTGAATCCAGAGAAGGAACAATTAAAAGAAAAATCTAAGAAAAGAAAAATCTAAGGCAAGGATGTGTGAGATAGTGAACTTTTTAGGGATAGAATCAAGATCACATGAAATGTTAATACATTGGTAAGACCACGTTTGGAATATTGGAATATTTTGCTCGCCACATTGTAAAAGCCGTTGAAAGAGTGCAACAAAGATGATTAGGGGACAGGAGGCTAAAACATGAAGAGTGGTTGCAGGAATTGGGTAGGTCTAGTGTCATGAAAAGGAGGACTAGGGGTGACTTGACAGCAGTGTTCCACTAAGGGGCTGCCGCAAATCTATTCTCCAAAGCACCTGAAGGCAGGACAAGAAGCAATGGATGAAATCTAATCAAGGAGAGAACCAATCTAGAAACAAGAAGTTTCCTGATAGAACAATTAACCAGTGGAACGACTTGCGTCCAGAAGTTGTGGGTGCTCCAACACTGGAGATTTTTAAGAAGAGTCTAGCCCAGGGGTAGGCAACCTTGGCTCTTTTATGACTCCAGGACCTCAACTCCCAGAATTCCTGAACTGAGGGGAAAGAGAGGTTTCCAAGCTGAGCCATGCTGGCTGATGAATTCTGGGAGTTGAAGTCCAGGAGTCATAAAAGAGCCAACCTTGAAGACCCCTGGACTAGGAGGCCTCCAAGGTCCCTTCTCTGTTATGCTGTTATAGACAAATTACCAGCATTAAAAGACATAGCAATTTTCACACTGAGAGGTTCTGTGGAGAAGATGGCAAGCCCTGGAAGGCAATCTAGGCCCAGATTCCCAAGGAGAATCTTATGGTGAAATGGGTGGCAAATAAATGTAATAACTAAATAAAATAAAATATAAAGGGACAAACCAGTTTAATGGATGGAGGCAGAAAGGCATCTGAAAAATCAGACCGGCTCCAGGGCTTTCTGCTTCCCCTCCTCGGGCTGAGCTGCCCAGAAGTTTTCAAGAGACAAGCCCTGATGCTCTCTCCTTCTTTGCCCTCCATAACACCCACAGTGCCAACACTTGTGAGTCTTCCTGTTTTCTTTTTCCTGGGTTCAGTCTCTCCTCGAATGGAAAATGGCGCTCCAAATGTCTGCACTGGTTTTGGGATTATGAGCTCGCTTTGGTCCCTCAAAACAGCCCAGGGTCGGCCTCTACGTTTCCCGAGATTCGGCCTCTGGGAGCCCCAGGAAGCCCCTCATCACCACCCGGATGACCAAGGGAGGGGGGCGGAGACGCTGGGCCCGCCGAGGCCTTAGGGCGCACGGGGGGGGGGCTGAGAGGTCGCCCCGGTTCTGCTGGGGCTGAAAGGATCCCCCCCCCGCCCGCTGCCTTTTATGCCTGCCTAGGCCCAGGCCCATCCGGGGCTGCCCGCTTCTCCCGCGACTGGCTGGGCGGCAGCGCCGCTGCTCCCCGAGCCGGCTCTGCTCCCGGGACCCGAAGCGCGTCTGCAGAGTGGCGGCCCGAGCGGCATCCCGGAGCCGGCCGGGTCCCGCCTGCCTTTGAGCCGTGGAGACCCCGAGACTCGGGAGGAAGCCGCCCGCCCGGGTCCCGCGCTGGGCCCTCCGGAGGCGCCGCCGCCGCTCGCAGGGGCAGGAGCGGGGAAGGGGCGCTCGGGCAGGCACAGCCGCCGCCCCTCGCAGGACGCGCTCGTCCGGGGGTTCCGGGTTTGCACGGGTCGCCCGGACTCGCCCGAGCTTTTCCCCGGAGCGCAACCGGCGCCAGGCAGCGCTTCCTCCTCGGGGCTTTGGAAGAGAGGCCGCAAGGCAGCCCGCGTCGCCCCCCCCCCCGGGCGGGGGCCCGCTGCAGGAGCCGGAGCGCTAGAGGCGCGAGGGGGGGCGGCCCCCGAGCTTCGAGGGCAGAGGGCGGCAGCAGCGGCCTCGCGGGCATCCGGAGACTCCCGGCTGCCGCTCTGATCTCTGGCCGGGCAGCCGCTCGGCCACCACCGTCTCTTCCGCGCCCTCGGGGAAGGCGAGCGCGGCCCGACCGCCACGGCCGCCGGCACCGCTTCCCGAGACCCTGCGGAGCGCGCCCCCCGCGCCCCTCTGGGCGGCCGCTGCGGGACCCCCTCCCGCGCGGGGCTCGGCGGCCTGCGCTCTGCACGTGCGCAGAGGACGCGACCCCTCCTCCCCGGCGCCGCCGCCCCTTTAAGGCCCCGCCCCGCCCCGCCCGCGCGGCCGTTCCCCAGAGGCGGGCCGGACTAGCCGCGATGGCGAGCCGAGTCGGGCCGCCGCGTCACCTGAGGCCGGTTCAGCGCCTCCCGCCCCGCCCAGGCTAAGCGCGGCCGGAGCCCCGCGGAATCAGGGGCGGCGCGCAGGCAGACGCGCGGGGAGGAGCCGCCAGACCCCCGCCTCGCGCCCGGCCGGCCGGCGCGTCCCCCTCGCCTCGCCTCGCCAGCCCGCCCGCCGCCTCTTTGTTCTTGCTTGCCTGCCTGCCTTCCGCCGCCGCGGCTCGGAGCGGCCGGGGCCGGCCATGGGCGGCGGGGCGGCCCAGACAGCGCGAGGCGGGTCGGGACCGTCGCCGCCCAGGAGCAGCCCGCCCGCCGCCGCCGCCGCCTCCCGGAGATGAGCGCCGGGCGCTGCCGGCCCTGCGCGCCGCCCTGATCCCGCCTTCGCCCGCGGCGGCGGCCGGCCCGTTGCCATGGTGGACCCGGTGGGCTTCGCCGAGGCGTGGCGCGCCCAGTTCAACGACGCGGAGCCGCCCGCGATGGCGCTGCGCTCGGTGGGCGACATCGAGGCGGAGCTGGAGCGCTGCAAGGCGTCGATCCGCCGGCTGGAGCTGGAGGTGAACAAGGAGCGCTTCCGCATGATCTACCTGCAGACGCTGCTGGCCAAGGAGCGCAAGAGCTACGACCGGCAGCGGTGGGGCTTCCAGCGCGGCCCCGAGGCCGACGACGGCGACAGGCCCGCCCGCCCGCGCCCGCCCGCCCTGCGCAAGCTCTCCGCGCACAGCGACGGCGGCCCGGAGGCGGACGCCGCGCAGCCCGGCGAGGAGGAGCGCAGCAAGCCCGCCGCCGCCGCCTCCGGGGACGAGAAGCCCAGGGAGGAGGGCGCCGCCGCGGGCTCACCGGGCAAGGCGCGGCCGGCCCCCAGCAGCTGTCGCCGCCGCCTCCCCGCCGCCGCCGCCGCCTCGCTCGACCGGGACGGGACCGCCTTCGAGGCGGGCGGCCGGGAGCGCGGGCAGGGCGGCGGCGGCGGCGCGGGGCTGCTGCGCTCCGGCCTGGAGCGCGGGAGGAAGGCGCCCTCGTCGCCGCCCCCCTCGCGGCCGCCGGACGGCCGGGAGGCGGGCGAGAAGCCCTTCTACGTGAACCTGGAGTTCCACCGCGAGCGCGGCCTGGTGCGCGTCAACGACCGCGACGTCTCGGAGCGCCTGGGCGCGCTGGGCAGCCAGGCCATGCAGCTGGAGGCGCGCAAGAAGCTGGCGGGGCCGCCGCGGGGCCGCTCGGCCGACGGCGCCTACGACGACGGGGGAGAGTACGAGGATGCGGAGCTGAACGCGCGCTTCCTGAAGGACAACCTGCTGCTCGACGGCGCGGGGCGGCCCGCCTGGACGGCCGCCTCCCCCGCCGCCTTCCAGCCCTACCAGAGCGTCTTCGTGGGCGGCCCGGCGGGGGCGGCCGAGCCGCCGCTCACCTGGCCGCGCCGCTCCTACTCGCCGCGGGGCTTCGAGGACCTGGGCGGGGGCGGCGGCTACACGCCGGACTGCAGCTCGAACGAGAACCTGACGTCCAGCGAGGAGGACTTCTCGTCGGGCCCATCGAGCCACGTGTCCCCCAGCCCCACCGCCTGCCGCCTCTCCCGCGAGAAGAGCCGCTCGCCCTCGCAGCACTCGCAGCAGTCCTTCGACAGCAGCGGCAGCCCCCCGACCCCGCAGGCCCCCAAGCGGCACCGGCAACACCCGCAGGGCGCCGGCCCCGAGGCCGCCGTCGGGGCGCCCAGGAAGAGCGCGCCACCCTGGCCCTGCGACGGGGAGCCGTCCCCCGGGAGGGCCGCCGCCGACGGCTGTTTCCATGGCGACGCAGGTGAGGGCCGGGGGCTCCCCGGAAATGCTGGGCGGCGGGGATCTGCGGAAGGATTCCCGAGGGGCGGGAGGGGCTCCGGTCAGTTACATTCAAACTCTGACATCTTCCCGATGGGCATCCGGTGGCTACTTTGTACACACACAACACACCTGCCCAGGTCAGGAATTGTGTGGCCTTCCCCCCTTCCCCCTCCCCTTTTCCAGCCCCCTAGGTGTGGGGGAGCAGAGGCAGCAGCTTCCTCTGGATCACTGGGGGGGGGTTAGGGTTAGGGTTAGGGTTAGGGTTCAGCTCCCCCTCCCAACCCTTCCCCTAAAGCTGTCGCAGGTTCTGGGTCTCTCTCCAACCCCCCCTCCCCAAACCGCAGCAGAGGCCCATCTGCAGCCTGGGTCCCTGGTGGGCTGCCTGGGGAGCAGAGGGCAAAGGGGGAAGGCCAGGGGTGGAGGGTGGCAGTGGGACCCTGGGAGGCCTGGAGTCGCTTGCCTGGCCTGGGGGCTGCCATGGTTGAGCCAGGAAGAGCTGAGTGTCCCCCCTCCCCCAAATTAGCTTCAAAAGGCAGCAGGGAGTCTCCAAGAATCTGGACTGATTCCAGCATTTGCTCTGCCCCGAAAAGAAAGGCAAAGCTTCGGAGAAGGGGACAGTTGAGCCCCTCCCCTCCAGTCACTGAGGTGTGGTTGGGTTGAGACAGTTGGGGGCTCCGTTCTAGCAGCAGCACCTGGAGCTCAGCTGGCAGATCAGCATCAGTTGGCCCATGATCTGACTGGAGAATGGATCCTATCTGTGTGGGGGGTGGGTGGGAGGGCACTCTGTCTCAGCACCCCTGAGACAAGGCGGGCCCTGGTGGGACTGGGCTCTCTGGCCTAGGCTGCCTTTGCGGCGGTGGGGGGGGGGAGTGTCTCTTGTCTGCTAGTGACCCATCAAAATGGCTTGGAAGGAACAGGCAGAGCCCATGGTGACAGTAGCCCGGCTGTGTGGAGGGCAGACCTGGGGGAGGGAGCAGGAAGCTGCAATGGGTCCCAGGGCAGGTAGAGTCCTGGGCAGGGTTCCATGGGGGTCTCCTGAGTGGGCTGTTGTGGGGCAAAGAAAGGAGCAAACGAAGGAAGAGCATCACCCCTGCCTCTACCAGCTGTTGGCAGGCCGAGCTTGGCAGATGGGGGTCCCCAGCCCTGCTGCCCTGGAGAGGGGAGGGGGGCAAGAGGCAAGACTCCAGGAAGGGATTCATAAAGCAGGAGTGTTATTGTGGTCACCCTGGGAATTATTGATGATAATGGCATAACCCAGTGTTTCCCAAACTTGACAATTTTAAGGCATGAGGACTTCAACTCCCAGAATTCCACAGCCAGCGTTGCTGGCTGTGGAATTCTGGGAGTTGAAGTCCTCATGCCTTAAAATTGTCAAGTTTGGGAAACACTGGCATAACCTGTCGATGTTTTCCTGCCAGTATGAAGCCCTGCAGGTTCTGTACATCCAAGTAGCAGCTGGGGGGGGGGGGAAACCATAGCAAGGGTAATATTCATACCTCTCAGCTCTTCAGAACCAGGTTGGCCCCTGAAAGTGGAGCTTCTGGATGGAAAGCATGCTAGGGGTGGTGGCAAACCACTAGTAGAAATAAGTGCCCCCTTTTTCTCTGCCGCAGCATGGTCGCTGCCCGTCTCTCTGAGTTGACACTTAAGAAAGAGACGCTTTGGAAACCCCAGAGTTGTTGGACGAGGTGCCCAGTTGCCCAGTGATGCTTTTGTCTGTGTGGAACCAAAACTGCTTGGAAGGTGGGCTTCCTTTGTAGGCACTTTGTATTGCCTTGTTTTCTCCCTCCACCCCAACAAATCTCTCTCTGTGGTTTGTGTATGTGTGTGTGTGTGTGTGTGTGTGCGCGCGCGCGCGCACACACACACACACACAAGTAGTTGCTGCATTAGGTGTGTTTGCGTTGCTAGCTTTGTTTGGCTTGGCAGCAGCTCCTTTGTGGGCTGCCCTGAGAAGTCTCCCCTCCCCCGCAATCTTTTCCAGCTGGAGATCTGTGGGTGCATCCACTTCCTTGTTCTGGCGGGGGGCAGGGGGGGCTGTTCCATGCTGGGGGGGGTGGCCATCCTCCCAGGGATGCCCCTCAGGTAGCTGGGGACTGTGGGGCCCGGCAGAGGGGGCTTCTGTCTGTGCTGGAGGGCAGAGAGAGAGGGACTCTGGAAAAGCCAGGGTCCTGCTGCCCTTGCAAGGAAGAGCTGGCCTGGAGTCGCTCACGGACAGTGCTCGCTCCCTGGGCACCATTCCGTCTTGCAGGAGCAGGTCCTTCCTGTCCGAGGAGGAGCCCATGAAGTGGACGCAGCTTTTGTGCAGGGGCGCTTTCCAGATGTTCTGCCAACAGAGGTCAGGTGCCATCCCAGCGAATTCATCCCGGGGCAGCCAGGAGGGGGATGGTCAGGTGGGCCATCTCAGGGAGTCACCTGGAGTCTGATAGATCTCAAGCGACAGGACCCCCCTCCCCCTCCATTTGGGAGTGAGTGGAACCATGGGCTCCCTGCTCTGTCCCCCATTCATGACTAGAAACCGCTGCCAATGGGACGTCAAAAGAAGCGTTCCACCTGAACAAATAAGACCTTTTGGACAAGCGCAGGCTTGCTCGGCTCGGTCGCCTTATTTTATGTATGCATCTGCCACACATCTGCTGCCTGGATGCTTAGGCTGCCATTGCTGCGCTGGTGACCAACAGGGTTTGGGGTATAATCTGAACTCCTGGTTAGGTTAGAATAGAATAATAGAGTTGGAAGGGACCTTGTAGTCATCTAGTCCAACCCCTGCCCAAGCAGGAGTCCCTACACCGTTTCTGACAGATGGCAGTCCAGTCTCTTCTTGGAAGCCTCCAGGGATGAAGGTTGTGCCATTGAAGCCCTACCTGAAGGACCGTCTCTCCTGCCAACAGCTGCCTTGATCCCTGATGAGAATTATGGGGGGGGTACCCCAGTGAAATCACGGGGGGGGGGCTAAACAACAAGCCTCTCAAGGCATCCCTGTGGAGAGGGAACCTCTGTTTCCTCCCTTACATTCCTCAAAAATGGAGGTCTCCCTGTTCACCCAGTATTGGGGTGTCAGGTGTGTGCCCTGCCTTTTAGACAGATGCTTAACTTTGCCTGCTCTGCAGAGAGGGAGAAAAGAGGTTGCACCTGGACCATTTGCTAAGGAGGAGCAGGACAACAGCTGGCATGAATATATTATAAAAGGAATTTACCTGAAATCCTGTTGTTGACATTGTAAGGACTTCCTAGGCCAGGGAGGAAGCAGATGTGGCTGTGGAAACGGTATTATTTCCATCCTGCTGAGACCCCCGTTTTGGCAGGGGGTCAGCAGTTTCTGACTTCGGGGACTTTGGCCTCACGGTCAGGCCTTGATTTACATTGATCAGTGCCCAGGAAGGCAAGAATTATTTTGGGTGCCAGGTTTAGATTTGTGTTTTTCAGCCTGGGCCATTTCAGGATGTGGGTGGACTTCAACTTTGCTGGCTGGGAGTTCTGGGAGTCCACACGTCTTCAAGAGGCCAAGGTTGAGGAACTGTTTTTATTTCATCTTTTGTGAGCAGGTAATCCTCAACTTATGACCACAATGGAGCCCAAAATTTCTGTTGCTAAGCAAGACATTTGTTAAGTGAGTTTTGCCCCCTTTTGCGACTTTTCTTGCCACAGTTGTTAAGTGAATCACTGCAGTTGTTAAGTTAGCAACACGGCTGTTCAAGGAACCTGGTTTCCCTACTGACTTGGCTTGTCAGAAGGTCGCGAAAGGGGATCACGTGACCCCCTGGGGACGCTGCGGCCGTCATAAATAGGAACCAGTGGCCAAGTGTCCGAATTTTGCTCAAGTGACCCTGGGGACGCCGCAACAGCCATAAGTGTAAAAACCAGTCATAAGTCACTTTTTTCTGTGCTGTTGTAACTTCGCTAAGCTGTCGCTAAACAAATGGCTATAAGTTGAGGACTACCTGTAATCTTTTGGGGGAATGTCACTAATCGGATTAAAAAATGGGAAACCGCCAACTTCCTGGCTGCAGTGATTCTCTCTGCCCTCCTTTTCCCGTGAGTCCCTCTCTCCCTCTTTCCCAACACCTGGCAGCAGCTGGATGCCTTTAGGCCGGGCTGGCGGACGGGAGGGCTGGGGGGTGAATTTTGCAGCGCTGGCGGGTGTCCCCAGCCTGTTCTGATGCAGGTCTCCATGCTGCTAATTGAGGGGGTGACCCCCCCCAAGACTTTGGCAGGTTCTGATCCTAATTCTTCATCAGCCATGCTCACGAGGTACGAGAAACTGAACTGGGGTCAGCCTAGAGTGCTGAGACTTGTTTTCTTGATTTTTTGGGTTGCTTTTTATTTGTTATTTTGTTTATTTATATCCTGCCTTTATTATTTTTGTAAATAACTTAAGGCTGCAAAGGTCTGGCCCTCCTCTTTCTATTTTCCCCACAACAACCTCCTTGTGGGGTGGGGTTGGCTGAGAGTGATTGGCCCAAAGACGCCCAGCCTGCTTTTTTGCCTAAGGCAGAACTGGAACTCACCGTCTCCTGACCTCTGACCTGTACCTTAACCCCTAGACCAAATGGGGCATGTCTTTATGAGCTATTTTAAAGAAAGTATAGACATAAGGGTAAAAGGAAACAAGAAGAAAGAATAAAATAGAAATTAAAGGCTAAGATATTTAATAATATTGGGGAACTTTCCAACAGAAATTAGTTGACTATGGATAATTGAATACAATGCATCACTTAAAATGGCCACTCCAGCTACTTCAAATGGGGGGAGGGGTTGTCTTGAGGTGGCAGGGACTCCTTCTGAAATCCAGCTGACCCCCTCTGGACAACCTGGGCTAGTAGCTCCGATCAGGGCTCTTTTAGTATCCCAACACCAGCCTTGCCAGCTCTGGGTTCGGGCAGAATGAGAAGATGGGCTGTGTTTGGTTCAGGAGGCTTAGGCAGGAGAGGGCAATCTTCCAAAGGGGGGGAGAGGGTGGTGCTAAAGCGGGGTGGGGGC